CGAAATACTGAAGACATGGACAGAGGCATACATAACACTCATACACAAGGAACAGATGGATCTCCAGCAAATAAACTATAGACCAATCTCGCTCCTAAACGTGGATTATAAGATTCTAGCCAGAATAATGTCGGAAAGACTGAAAAAGATATTAAGTGAAATTATTCATTCTGACCAGAATGGCTTTCTCCCAAATAATCCTAGAATATTTGGTGAGGTTGGGTTGGGAAAAACAAGTACCATACTTATTTCCAAAGGCACCGGGTGAGAGACACAGTATTATCGGTTTGGGAGAAATTAAAAAAGAACCACTATGTGAAAATATACCGCTATGGCTATCGACAATGGAAGCGCTAATATACCCCAACGCTTTAGACCGAAACAAAATGATAAAAGATAAAGTTCTTCTAAATGAAAATGGGGAATTAAAAACGCAAAACCAATTAAAACTACAGGGAATTGAAACAGGATGGTGGCTTTACTTTCAGGTCCAAACACATTATAAAAAGACAAGGATCAATTTGGTTTCTGTATAACACAGCAAGAATTAGATAAAATATTGCAAGGGGTTAAAAAAATGATTAATAAAATATATAATTACCTATTGGATTACAAAATGGAAGATGAAATTGTTAAAGAAAATATGATAACTTGGGCCACAGCATTGATTTGGAAAAGTAGGAATGTATTTGGCAGGTAAATTGTAAGTTAACATTGTCGGTCTCCTACAAAGAGAACTTATATAAAACGTTTTACTGTTGGCACCTCCCTGCAGCAAGAATAGCTAAAATGTTCCCAAATATGATAGCCAAATGCTGGAGATATAATCATGGTCATGGAATGTATTTTCACATGTGGTGGACGTGTCCTCAAGCATGGAGATACTGGCTTAAAATTAAATCCTGGTTAGAGGAGTTAACGGAATAGAGAATCAAACTTAAACCAGAAATCTTCCTGTTAGGCATGTTAGAGCCTAATCTGAATAAAAAACACCAATATTTAATGCTCCATATTATAACTGCTGCTAGAATTTCCTTTGCCCAAAATTGGAAATGTTACGACCCCCCCTTCCAGAAACTGCAATAATTAATAAGATATATGAATGCGCTGAGATGGACAGATTGACGAAGATATTGAAAAATAAGGAAGGAGAATACTATAAGATATGGGATATTTGGTACAAATGGCTAAGTTAAAAGATGCAGTCATCAAATAAAAATGTACGAGAAATCATAAAGTAATAAGGCTCATGTGTAAATAAATGTATATATGTATAAATGTATGTATGTTTAAAATGCTTAGAATGATGAATGAAGATTTAAATATAGAGATGGATAACACAGTAATAGAGGATATTCACAAATGTAAACACTATTACAATAATGTTGCAAAATGTCAAAATTTGTTTTTAATTGTTGAAATGTTGAATAAACAAATTTATTAAAAAAAAAGAAAAGAAAATTTAAAGTGTTTTTCTTACAGAGTGTAATCAATACACGAAGACATGTTCTTCTACCAACTAAATTCTCCAGTAGTTTGTATAATTTTAACAGAGAATAAATAGCAAATGACATTACCAGATATTTATTTACCTGATATGCTAATTTCCTGACTATCTCCTTTACATCCATGGTACGACCAATAATTTTGGGCAGAGTTTTAACTGATGGACCAATGCAGGATAACACAGCACGCCTTACTTCAGAGTTGGAATCAGTCTCAATTAAACTATTGTAAACTGAGAAGAAAAAAGTATTATGACAGGTTTGTTACTGATAGGAATAGCAACATAAATAAAACAGAATGCAGAGAAGCTGAAATGCAGAAACTCTCCAAAACATTCAGGCTTAGAAGTTTAGAGACCCAGTTAGCTAAAGCTCAGCAGGAGCTATCTAAGCAACTCAGGACCACAGTCTTGTGCTCCACACTTCATAGAATTGTTATTAATAAACTCTTTGCAGCCAAAAGCTCCTGATAGTTGTGTCAAGCTGGATGATTCCCACAGAAAATGCTCACTACCAACTACTGTTGGAGCCCAATTTGCTACCAGTTAAGCTCCTTTACAAACAAAAGTCCTTTTTCTGGGAAACTAATTACAAAAAATAAGAAGCTTAACACACATTTTACTGCCGTTTTTAAAAAACCTTTTAAACTTATTCACAACATTCATAGGATTTTTTGGGACAATTTTGTTCTACGAGGCATCTCTTTCAACGTGAAGAGAACAAAACAAAACTTAAGGAAACCATTATAACACTTAATTCATATAGACTATAGATAAGATGGGCAGCACGCAAATCTAACAATAAATTCACATTGCCGCTCCATGAAGCCTCCTCCCGAGTTAACTATGATTAATAATTTCAAAATAAAATGGTAATAAAAATAAAAACAATCTGAGTTTGATGAGTTTCTGCCATATTAAATAAAATTAAAATATTGCAGCTTAAAAAAAGAACAGCAGAAATAAGTTTAATAAACCACATGAATTGGCAAGAAATGTACCATTAACAACTGGACACTGGTCATCCTTGGGATCCTGAAGCCTAGACAAAGCCAACACGGCTTGGATTCTCACATTCGGTACTTTGTCTCTTGTTCTGAGCTGCATAGCAGTATTAATCTGATCAAACAGTTCATCATCGATCTGGGCGTTCTCTGGCAGACTTCCCAAAATTTTATTAATAAGTTGGCACACACGAAATCTAACTGCATTGCTATTAGCGGGATGGGACTTAAAGACAAAGATTTTCATTGTTATTGTGGTTATACACAATTATAGATTTTAAAATTTGTGCTTCAGCTTTTATATAGCTCTGGCTGAACAATAGTAGCTGAGGTACAAATTGTACTGTTTTGTTTTCAGTGACAAAAAATCCAACACTTATACTCAGATTCTTATCTATATTATTTCCCCTTTCTGAAGCATGGAAAATCTGCCCCAGCCCAGAAATGCTCTGCACAATAACCTTTGGTTAAAGACATCAATTTTACCAAAGGTTATTGTGCAAAGACAGCAATTTCATTTGTGGAATGAATCTGTGGAAGCCACAAATTTAAGCGTAACACGGAGACATTGAATACAAATGACTCTCCTGTACAAATGAATTTCAGAAACTCTAGCTTAAGAAAAGCTAATCAACTGCTTTCCTTAACAAGGGTAGAAAAAGATAAAACTCCCCCCTCCACCCCAATGTGATATTTATACACAGAGATGACTTGGACCATTAATAGCTTATTTTCAAAGTTTCAGATGGTGTTGGATACACATTTTAATGAAAGTTTTTATCTATGTAGTACGAATTATTTCTCATTACTTTACAGATATAGTACCTGAAGGAGAAAAGTCAACAGGTAATTTAGAAAGGGATTTTCCACTTCTTCCTCTTCAGCATCCTCTTTCTCAGAAATATACAATGAAGCCAGAAACTTGGCCACAAAATTTATCACTTGTTCCACAGCAGGTTCTCTTTTGTAGATTACCATGACATACTTCAGATAATGAACAAACTGTTCATGAAAACAGTCCTTATCTTGTAACTAGGAGCAAGAATTAACCTATAAGTTATTGGAGAAAAGGCTAGATACATCAAACAAAAGATCAAACTCCAAAGAATTCAGTCAAGACATTTGCAGACCTTCTTGTTAATACATTCCATTCAAAATATTCTTCTCACAAGTATTTCTCATTAAACTGGCTTTTAAACAGACATTTCTACATGTGAACATAACTCTGCTAATCCCAGGAAGCATAGATCAGCATGAGGAATGCTGGGAAGTTACTTCCACAATTACTGGAAGAAAACAAAATGCCCCTACAATTTTAGGAGACCTTCCAGCATTTTGTTTTTCCATATTTGTTTTCAATCTTAATTGCAGATGAGATGGTTAGATAGTGTCATCAATGCAGTGAACACGAATTTGAGCAAACACTGGGAGAGATTGGAGGGCAGTGGGGTCTGGTGTACTATGATCCATGGAATCACAAAGAGTTGTACACAATTTCATGATTGAGCAACAATTATTTTCTCGTTCTTTCTCACTGATGGGTATCTCTCTCTAGCTACTTCAATGTCAAATATCCATATTGTTTCTTTGGAATTGCAAATATGTCTAACTTATTATGAGCTAAATGGAAATCCCATAGGATCTTAAACCCTCTTGTTCTCAACTACTACCATTCTCTTGTAATTTCCCCCCCATTTTTGTTTTTCCATGCTTTCTTAAAGGCTTCATGTTTTTCACATCTGAAGTCTTATAAGTAAAATGATTGTATAGTGACTTTTGAAGCCAATGTGGGAACTCCCATAAGAAGAAATGATAAACAATACTTACCTCATTATAGGTATGCTTTAAAGATGCCACTAATTTGGCCTGATTTTGGTGAGGTTTTTGAGCTTCCTCAAAGGCCTTTCTAATATCAAACAACTGTTCCCCTTCCATAGCTGTAATGAGAAAGAAAAATATGGAAAACAAAGAACACTTGTCATATCAATTCCATCAACTAGTTCCTTGCTTCTGCAGTGCCCAGTTGTGGTGGTGGTGGTTTCATCTTTTGCAACTTTTCTTTGTTCAGTGCATTCCTTGATGTGATGGAAGACACAATGACCCAAGGTGACACAAATATGGAAGACATTACTTCCAATTCTTTCCTCCCTGAAGACAGCTCAGCCCATTATGGCTGATTTATCTAATAAACAATGGTTAGCTGTAGCAAAATTAATCCATAACAGAGACTACAGTCTTCAGAAAACTATTGCAGATGGTCCACATTTAATCTTATCAAACTCATTAAAATTAAAACAAAGGCCATCTGTGGTCTTCCCAAGCAGAAAAATACCTTCAATAAGGATTTAATTCTGTTAGAGCAGGGGTGTCCAACCTTGGCAACTTTAAGACTTGTGGACTTCAACTCCCAGAATTCCTCAGCCAGCAAAGCTTTGCTGGCTGAGGAA